AGGCCTAGATTCTGTGGGAGAGACAAGCGCTAAGCAAGAAGCCTCTGGGGTCTCAGCAGCAGGTCCTTGGACCGTTCGTATAGGAGAATTACAGCTCACCCTTGTAGGAATCTAGCAGCCATTCCAAAAGTTCTGCCCTCCTCCCACAGCTCCATGTGTGCAGATGCGAGAGCTGTGCTCTTCTCCAGAGCACTGGGTGGTCCTTTGTCTTTGGCTGCAGCCCTGATACCAACACTTCGGCACATTGGGCAGGCTTGTTGGTGATTCACAAGCTTTGCTCTGCACTACTGGCTTCTTCTCTCTTGATTACCCCCAATACTGCTACTGCTCGCAGTAGTCATTCTTAAGAAAGGTAGGAGCTTGCCTGGCCTCAGTCTCAGCTGAGGTGGTCCCTTTACTTATCTCCCTAAAGGAAACAGTAAGGCAGACCTAGGTTTTGTATTCCATGTGACTTGGGACCCCTGTGATATTGGGCAGATCTTCTGATCTCCCAGAGCCTTGGTTTCCTCATTTTAAGAGGTGGCAGTAGTCTCATCTTTCTCATGTAGTTGTGCGGATTAGTTGAGACAATGCACTTCATCCAGGACCTGGAATATAATAGCTTCTCAATAAGTCATATCTAATATTTTTAGTTGCTCTATGGACTTCAGTTTCCTGATCTGGAAAAACAAGCCTAATAATAATTTAAGCTTCCTAACGTTGTTATAAGAGATAATGAGGTAATGTATGAGATAGCAGTTACAAATGATTCCATAATAGTATGTAAAAAAAATTGAATCTTTCCTTGATTCCCCAAATCAGACAATTCTCATCTAAGCTTTTAACCACCCAGCTTATGGAAGTTTTAATCTCACTCTGTGTTTTCTGACTTTCTTTCCACTCTCTTTTCCCACAGTTTAGCTTCTTGCAAACAGTCTCTGTGGGTTTTCTGTTGGACAGAATCTCTGGGGGAGAGGAAGGCCTGGGCTTAGAGACCGTACTGGGTTATGCAGAGAATGTACCTTGCTCAAGGCTGGGTTCCCTCTAGGTGGTGCTGCTTTGAGGCTCCAGGGCCACTGAGCCAGTGTAATCTTTCTCCAGTTTCAAGGACTCAGTTTGTATTGTTCCTTATTCTGGGCCCCGGTGAAAGTGGGGTCCAGGGTGTTTTCCTCCCCAGAAACCCTGTGATAGGTGGAATTTTGGCTTCCCTTTCCTTGTCCTCTGGTGTTACTCCTGGCTTATGGCAAAAAAGGACTTTGTGGGTATAAATAAGATTAATAATCAGCTGACCTTAAATTAGAGAGATTATCCTAGGTTATCTAGGTGGACCTAGTCTAACTATATGAGCTCTAAAAAACAGACATCTTTCTCAGCCTTGCAATAGAAGGGGAAGTAAGAGATTTGAAGAGTGAGGAAGTTTTACAAGAACAACTTTGTTGGCTTGAAGATGAAGGGGCCATGTGTCAAAGAAACAGGTCTCAGTTTTATAACCAAAAAGGAATTGTATTCTGCTAATAACCTCAGTGATCCAGGAAGCAGATTTTTTCCCAGAGCCTCCAGAAAAGAGACCAGCTCACCCAACACCTTGATTTTGCCTTGGAGGTCCTGAATAGAAGGCCTAGTTGAGCCACACTGTGCCAGAATTTTGAAATATAAACAAGTGTTGTTTGAAGCTGTTCAACTCATGGTAGCATGTTATAGCAGCAAAAGAAAACTAATATAATGCTCAAGAATCCCATTCCTTTTCTTAGTCTTGGGGAATCCCCTCTCTTTAGGCTCAGAAGCTCCTGCTTCTTCAACTCTAAAGGTCTCACAGACAATTGGGCACAATTCACCTAGAATCCTGGTTGTCACCAACAAAAGATATGGCAGGGAGTTTCTGAAAATCTCTATTTTTGACTCTGTAATTCAACAAGCTTTTGGCATCCGGGGGGCTTATTTGGCTAAGCATTCGACTCTTGGTCTCAGCTCAGGTCTTCAACTTGGGGTTGTGAGTTCGAGGCCCGCATTGGGCTCGATGCTAGGCGTGGGGCCTACTTAAAAAAAAAGCTTTAAGTCTAGAGGATACAAAGATTTTGATACTTTCTTATGATGGGAGGAAGGATGAAATGGACAAAACCCAAATGAGTATCTCAATAAAGTTTCCTGCCACATATACTCTTACCCTGGTATCTAATACACAGTAACTAATATTAATATTCCGTCTGTTATGACCTAATTCAACCCAGTTTGATCCCAAGTTGTCAAAACAGTGTCTGTCATGCAGTGATGGAAATCACTCCAGCATTAAGAGGATGCCAGCTTGGAGTTGCTGATATTCAAGATGTCTTTTGGCATGGTGGCTCCACCCTGAGGAACCCTCCTCATCCTGAAATAGCAGAGGCAGAGCTAGATGCACATCTGGCCCCAGAAGAGTTTTGTTTCTCCATCTGGGACAGGGAAGATGGTCAGTTACCACCCTCCTCGTGCTGTAGACAGGATTCTATGGGGGGTGGTAGGAGCCACCTGTTCTAAGAGAGCCTTCCTTTTCTTGGGACAAGTGTGCATAATGTAGTGTCTCAATGGAAAGCTTATTCTCAGCTCCCTAAATCCATCAGGTACACGAAAATGGCCTGTATAATATATCCACCCATTCTAGCTCAACACAATTTGAGGGCAGAGATGGTAGGTACATCTCTTAAGAAATCGACATGCATCTTTCTCCAACTTTGGGCCTTTATCTGTTTCAACTCCTATCTCTTTGGTTGTCAAGTACATAGTTGTGGACATACTATGTGTCAGGCACAGTTTTGGCCCTGAAGATACAGAGATGAACAAGACAGACTTAGTGCCAGCCTTCATATTTTGTGAGGAAGAGATGACAAATAACCCCATATTTTTAAAAGAATTAATGCAATGACTCTTGTAGTGCCTTCTGACACCTGGACTCCAGCCACAGCCTCTTTGTTCCCAGTCTCTCATGTCTGGGTGCATCTGTGTTATCTGCATCCACCATATCCAAAAGGTTGTTCAGTTTTGAGGACACCAACAGTTCTGAGGGAATGTCTCCATGACTAAACATCAGCAGATACTCCCACACCTCCTGCCCTGTCAGCACTAAGGGTCCTACCCTCCATTCTCTTGTACTACCTGTAATAATAATTCTTGAAATTCTGTAATCATGGGCCAACCTGATCTATGGTCTCACTTTCATGGGTTTTTGAAAATTGTATTACTAGCTATCCAACCATAAGCTCCCAAATCTTCCTGCCCAGGAAGTGGATGTCCCCACCTAAAAACTTTCCAGAACTAGCAAAAAGTTTTTTACCCGTTTTTTTTTTTCCCTTGCTCCTTCTGCTTTCTCATCACCCTAATGCTTCCCTGGGTGGCCCTGCATGGTGGTGTGCCCCTTCCTCTTGGGGACTGTAAGTAATAAATTCTTCTTTCAGTGGCATTGACCACTATGTGTCATCACTCAGTCATACTGATGAATTAAATCCAAGGTACGTTTTAAAACACCACCTGGCACAGCTTAGACCAAAGACTGGCCAGGCCCTGGAGGAGCTAAAGTTGTGACTAGGGTGGATATGATCTGGAGATTCCCCCAGAGACCCCATGACACTCTCTCTGCCCCAAGTCTGCAGACCTCTGTCCAAGTATGCCAAAGTTACTTAAAAACTCCCCAAACACTAATCTCCAGTGGTTTCCAATCATGATGTTCTACTCCACCTAGTCCCTATCTGCCACTCTGTATTATAAAATACCATATAGGACAGCCTGGGTCGCTCAGCGGTTTAATGCTGCCTTCAGTTCAGGGCCTGATCCTGAAGACCCAGGACTGAGTCCCACGTCAGGCTCCCTGCATGGAGCCTGCTTCTCCCTCTCCGTGTCTCTATGAATAAATAAATAAAATCTTAAAAAAAAAACCCAAAAAGTAAAAAAAGAAAAGAAAAACCATATAGAGGGACGGTTGGATTTCTGCCAGCACCAAAGCCAGCTCCAACAACTGACAGAGTAGAGCAGGGCCAGGTGAGTGGCGCTTTGAACTATCCTCCCTGTGAAATCAGTCCTGAACATGGAGTAGCTCTATTCTGGCCTCAGGCTCCAGGACTGGGCCAGAGGAAGGAAGAAGGAGAAGAGGTGTCTGCTCTGGTCCACTAAGCTAGGTCAAATCACTCAGAGTTCACAAAGTTAAAGATACATACTCTGGAATGAAATATAATGGTCAGTGTGTATATGTGACTATCATCTATGAGAGCATGTGCACACTTACATCATGTGATTCATGATCCTGCTTTGCCTTGGCTCAGCACTGATTCTCAATTTATCATGTATCCCAGGCCCCTGTTGAATCAAATCTACCAACTACTACACAGCGCATGCTCTTTTTCCGTGTGACTCAGAATTCAGACAGAATTCATCCTGGCCCTCTATTGGCTTTGCCTTTTCCTGTCACTCCCAAAAATGCTTAATGAGGAGGCAAATACTTTATTGAAGTGCAACTTGCAGGCTACATTTGTCAACTCCCTTGTGAGAGGCATTAAAAGGATATCTGTAAAGAAAAGGGCTCTGGGTGTGTTTCTGTGTGTTCACAAGGGTGTGCACACCTGTGGAGGGCATTTCTGTGTCTATTGGTGTGTGAGTCTCAGTATATGGGTCTTTATGAGGTGCAGGAATGCATATGTATTATGTGGGCATAAGACATACCTATGTTTGTGAGAAAGCATATGTGTTCTGAAAATGGCAACTCGAGAGTATTTTATATGGAATGCAGTCTTGAGTGCAATATGTGTATATGCAACTGTGTGTCTATGTGTGGGTCTGTGTGTCTATGTGTATATGGGTGTGTCTATGTGTGTATGGGTGCTCTGGGGAGTGGGATGCGAATGGGTGCTGTACTCCTATATCTCTAGGTGAGCATTTATACCCCCAATTCATTCCCATCTCTGAACCTAGCAGACAGGATAGCAGAATTTCTGCAGGCAGGCTTTCCTACAACTCTGGATTCCCTTGGAAGTAGGGGTCCTAGGGATAAGAATGGGTCACTCTGGGTCTGGGAGTCCCTCCTGGCCAGTCCTGCCTTTTCCACCCTGGGAAGTTCCTTCCCCAGGCTCGCCCTCATCATCAGCTTCAGCCATTTCCTCAGGCATTGGCCACTCTCGAGTCTGCCACTCTAGCCGTTCAATGCGATAAGCGATCTTGAGTGCACTGGATTCCAACTCAGCAAGGAGGCGAGCAAATTTGGTCTGTAGATCATCAAGTTGCTGGTCGAGGCCTCGTAGTCGAGACTCTGTGGCTTCCTGTAGGGCAATCTCAGCTGCCTCAGCATTTACATCCAACTTGTTCATTTTGAGCAGGATCTCACGGCCCTTTTCTTCCATGACAACCTGGGCCTTTGGATACTCACTCAGGACTTCCCGCAGGTCCTCCTTGCTCAGGCAAAACAGGTCTGAATAACCTAGACTCTTGATGTTGGCTGTGCGGCGGTTCCCAGACATGTTTCCTGTGGCCCATGGGCAGACACATGGGAGGACAGTTAATTAGGATAGGTGTCAGGGGTTTTTCATTCCTGAACCAGGACCCCTACCTCCGTATTTGTGCTTTCAGGCTTCTCTTTCTGCTTTATTAATTCTTTCATTTACTCGTTTACTGGGGACCAGGCCCTGAGATGGGTGGGTAACAGTGATGCGCCTGCAAGAATTCAGTCTAGAGGTGATAGACATCTAATGGGATAGGAATAGTAACAAAACAGTATATAGCTGGTGCAGTGTAGAGGTGCGCATCCAGTGCTGTGGCAAGACTGGTAAAGAGCCCCTGACAAGCTGGCAGAAACTTTGGGGAAGCCTAGAGGGAGTGATGTCTGACTGAGCAGGGGTCAGAGGGGGAGGGCTGGGGGAGGGAAGAGATATCCAGGCAGAGGGAGGAGTATGAGCAGAGGGAGATGGAGGTAGGAGACAGGTGGCTGCAGCAAACTGTAAGCAGTCCAGAGGGGCTGAAGTACAAAGTGTGAAGAGAATGGAAAGAGGAAGGGAGAGCAGGGCACACTGGGTGTGGTAAACCACTACAGGGAGTTTATACCTTATTCTGAGGGCAGTGGGAAAGTACTGAAATATTTTGAGCAAGGGAGCTGTATTCACATTTTTAGGAAGGTATTGGTGAGGGGTTGCGGGGGAAGATACGTTAGGCTGAATGCTGCAAAGCTCAGAGGAACTACCCTTTGTGAACACTTGCTATGCTTTAGACACTGTGCTGATGCCTTATCCATAGAACTCATTTAATCCTCACAAATAGCCCTTTGGGTTTTTGATATCATCCCCTATTGGATAGATGAGAAAACTGAGGCCTAATAAAGGGAAATGACTTGTCCAAAACCAGGTAGACAGCAGCTGACCGCATCCAGGAAGTGGAGCTTGAAGGGTCCTCGGAGGCCAGATGTGAGGCCCTTGGCACAATTAGAGAGTGCAATCCCCAGGCTGACAGCCCCGTGGCTTCAGTCAGTGACAGCGCACTCACTCCTTGCCATGTCCCCCCATCTCCTGGGGCCTCAGTGTCTTTGCTTGCGTTTAGGCATACCGACACCTACTGCGCAGGTGGATAAAAGGAATCAGTGTGTCAGCGCTTAGTACTTGGCCTGGCCTGGAGTTGGTGGAGAGAATGGCAATGCCTTCCTTCTAGCCTCCTTTCCATCTGGCTGTGAGAAAGTTTCTTGTACTGACTCCAAGTGTGTGTACTTATTATCGCAACGGCCTTGGACAGTTTCCCAAACATCTCTGTACCCCTATTTCCTTACATTTAAAATACAGGTAATGGTACCTACCTGAGTTACTGTGAGAATTTAGTGAGTTGGTACTTGTGAAGCACTTTGAACGTGGCAAGTAGTGAGTGTGGCAATAAATATCATCTCTGTCACTTTCCACTGGTCTGTTGGTGCCTTGGGTTGACATCCACAGAGCAGATCTACTTCCTCTTTTCCAAGGATCCACCTTGTATGCTAACCTTGGCTCGGCTTCTTCTCAGGGAACAGACCCTCTGTGTCCTGCTTTTCTAGTGACTCAGGCAGGGGGTCAGGTTTCCTTAATCTGTAGGCCCTGAAGTACCACTTAGTGTCAGTGCAGGGTTCTGCTGTCCCCTCCCAGCCCTGTCCTGGAACAAACACTGGGGTGCCTACCTTTGATGTTGATGATGCTGATCTCCCCAAAGTAGAGCCCTGCACCAAGCACAGCATACTGTGTGACGCCATCATCTGCCACCACAGCCAACTGACCCTCACGGATGATGTACATCTCCCGGCCAATGTCCCCCTTGCGGCAGACATATTCTCCAGGCGAGTAAGTCTGGGGCTGCAGCTTCAGTACCAGCTCCTCTAGGAGGCTGGCCTCACAGTTCTGGAAGATCTGCACCCGACTCAGAGTAGACAAGTGTACAGATACAGCCACTTCTGCCCTCAACCGCTCAGGCAAGTGCTGTAAGATGGCTACCTCGTTGGTTATCTTCTTGTTGATCTGCAGGTGCTGGTACCTGGGGACAAGGGCAGCAATTGTTCCTCACCAGCTCCTTAGATGCCTAACTCTATTCCTTCCGTTAGGATTCAGCTAAGCCTCAGCCAAGGGCCTAGTCACACTGAGGTCTCACGGGGGTCATGGGAATACTTGACAGTTGGCTGATGAATATCTTCACTCCAGGGTCACTACACAGATATGTTTTGACCTCTTTTCCCTTACCCAGGGTCTGAAAGCCTCCAGTCGACAATGAATAAGATACCCTTTACCTACTGTCAAACTTTACCCCACCCACCATTCAGTGATGCCTTGTACCATCCCACTGATACCTACTTCAATCACCAAACCCTGTATTTAACGGCCCCCTGCTTCAGTTCCTCTACTTGCTGACATTTCCTTTTGTTCATCCCATAATATGGACAACTATGACATAGTCAACCATTTTGTTGGCCATCTCTGGCAAGTCTTGCTCTTCTCCCTTTAGCCCTTCCAGGGACTTCTGAGCCCTACCAGGCAGTGGCAGTTTTTATTCCAGGTTATCCTTCCTTGTGTATGAGTTCCTCTCCCTATAATCTCTTATCCAACCCAGTCCCCTAAGTCCAGATGCAACTAGTGGAAGACATTCTTTTCTAAGCCCTGCCCAGTGAACCTCTCAATGAATGCCATGCCTTAGTTGCCCTGCCTGGCCTGCTAGGCAGTAAGGACCCAGCCACCTTCCTCAGGGTTTATCCAGGACACCTCTCCCTGTTCTGGTCTGGGACCCCAGCATCCTCACCAGTCAATAACTCGCCGCTCCAATCGGCGATTGACATGCTGCTGCTTCATGTACTTCTTCACCAGTGCATGGTCTGGATAGAAAGCTGCATCTGCAGTGTTCATGTTGTAGATGACAGAGCTCATGCTACCCATGATGGTGGCAAAACCCATGACAGCCAGTAGGAAGTCGCCCACCATGAAGAGGTACTCCTCCTCCCGCGCTGGCAGCGGCGTATCACCCACAGTGGTCAAGATCAGCGTGGAGAAGTAAAAGCTATAGAGGTACTGGCGCCGCAGACGCTCAAAGCCAGGCTGCGCGGGGTCAGGGTACACCCAGGCATCACGCCCGAAGCCCAGGTACCGGGACAGGGCAAAATATAGACAGCTGTTCCAATGGATAACAACAAAAATGTAAAGCATCAGCTTGGTGATGCGAAAGGCGTTTGGATAAGCTGTGCGGGTCTCTGTGCGGTCAAAGGCCTCAAAGAGGCGGGGCGCACGCAGGAAGCGGTTCAGCCTCAGTGTGGGCGTGTGTGGGCCCAGACGCAGGAAGGCCAAGTCTGTGGGCATCAGGGAAGCCAGGTCCAAGAAGAAGCTCCAAGTGCGAACGTAGCGACTTGAAATCCTGCCTTTGTCCACCACCAGGATGCCCTGGTCCAAGAATCCTGGGGAGGAGGAGGTGGAGACAGGCTGGGGTCAGCCATGAGATGGGTGAGGTATGGGGCTGAGTCAAGGCACCACCTACCTCACTAATAAGGCTGAGTGTGGGTGGGCCACGGTAGGACAGGGAGACAGACATGGGGACAGGATAGGGATGGACATAAACTTGCTCCAGGGTTTCTGGGATGGGCATAGGGGTGTTGTGAAGCATGCAAAAGTGCTATCAGGGAGGGAGTCACTTCCTTGTGCCTCAAAGACAGTCCTTAGGAAGGTAACATGGAACAAAGGGTCAGCCTTGGGCTCACTGACCTGTGTGAAAGCGCACCACGATGTCCAGTAGGTATAGCAGGTCACTTGTGTAGTCCAGCACTAACCAGGCCACCAGATAACTGTGTTGCAAATCAGGAAAGCAGGCTCTGTATGTCAGGGATAGAAAAGATTGGCTCAAGAACACCCTCTGTGTAATGCAATCTCCCCAAGGCACTCTGCACTTTGCCCTGGGTCCTCTCTACCACGCTGCCTCTCCTTCGGGTCCTGACCAAGGGCCTGCCCCTTTCCTTGGCCTGACTCTTGAGCTCTTATCTCTGCTTAAGACCCTTCCTTCAGTACCCTGCCGAACCTGCACACGATGATGATGAGGTTATACATTACTGGGAAGACCATCGTGTTCAGCCACCAGTAGTAGTGATCCCCAGATGGGTCGAGGACAGGCAGCAACTTCCTGTGGAAAGAAGAGGAGAAGCAGTGTTTCATTTTCTTCACCAGACATTCAATATTGAGTTTGTCACTGGGGGCATCAATAAGAATCAGACTCCATCCAGTTAGGTGGAAAGATGTGACACAGGGGGCCGGGATCTCTCACCTGGCCTTGGGTGGGGCAGGGGGGCTGGACTCCGTCGTTTTCACTTTGCTGTCCTGGCTCATGCTTCTGTGGCCTGATGCCTGGATGTGAGATACCCAGGGCCTCTGCTGATGGGTGGCTTCAGGAGGTGGGGGCTACTGCTTGCCTGCTTGCCTGCCTTGAAGAGGCTGCCCTTGATCTCCAGCTGTGACTCTTCTCTGACTTCTGAAGCTCTTAGCAACATAATCAGGGCCAGCCCTTACTGAAGGGGCAGAGGCAGTGTGGCTCCAGCGCCCCACCCTGTCTCCCAGGGCCTGGGCTTACACTTGCCCAGCTAAACATCTCTAATGAGGTCCCTGGAGGAGGTGGGGGTGCATACCTCAGAGGTAAGCCTGGGCCTTGTTTCTTCTCTCACCTGCCAAGCTGAACTACTTAGGGGTCTTCTAAGTCAGCAGATGTGGGTGCCAGTGTAGGCTCAGTCATTCTGTTTTACTTTGTGTAAATTACCTGCTTGGGCCTCATTATTTATTCATTTAACAACTTTTTACAGAATGGCTCATTTGTGTCAGGTGCTGAACTAGTCTCTTGGGACAAAGAATGCTTGCCATATCAAATGTGAGTTCTGTTTTCATTTTCTGCACCCGACTTACCTCATTTTTTTTAAAAAAAATTTATTTATTTATTTATTTATTTATTTATTTATTTATTTATGAGAGAGAGAGAGAGAGAGAGAGAGAGAGAGAGAGAATAACAGGAGAAGGGGCTGAGGGAGAGAAAGAATCCGAAGTAGACTCCCCTCTGAGCGTGGAGCCCAACTAGGAGCTTGATCTCTTGACCCTGAGATCATGACCTGAGCTAAAATCAACAGTCACACTTAACTGACTGAGTCACCCAGGCAACCCCACCTTACCTCATTCTTACTGGATGAGTGTGATGGGGGCCCTTCTTTGGGGATTTTGCCCCCATTCCTTTCTTATTACCTCTAGTACCTGATCCCATTAGCTATTTCATATGTTATCTAGATCCTCAACCTTCTTAATTTTCCCCTTTCTATGAGCATGCTTAAATCTCTCCCATACCAAAACAAACAGTAAAGTCCTAAAAATTCTCCCTCATACTGATGTCCCCTTCACTTCTATCATCTTTTCTCAGTCATAATCAGAATACCTGCTATGTGCCAAGCCACTATTATGCTCAATGTTGGGGATAAAAGATGAATGAAACATACTCCCTGCCCTCTAGAAACTCAGAGTTTGGTAGGGGAAAGAGTCGGGTCGATAGGCAGTTACATATCAGTTTGATGGGTTTCTCTTTTAGGTGGATATACATAGAGCCATGACACTATGAGGAGGGTCCCAACTGAGCCTGGGTTCTGTAGGATGAACAGGAGTTAGGTCTAGAGATGGGAGAACGAAGAGCAAGCAGTAGAGGCAAAGTGCATAGAGGCTTTAAAAAAACAAGGGTGATTGGGAGACATCAAATAGTTTCTGTAGAGAACTTGAGGGGCTAGTGGTGCGAGATGAAGCAGGCTGAGGACAGCCCAGGGAGAACTTTCTCAGCCATTTTATAAAGCTAGGGTTTTATCTTAAGGCAATGGAGAACCTGTGGAGTGTTTTGAATAGTTAAGTAATATGGTCAGATATGTGTTTTGAAGAATTTCATGGAAGAAATGTCTATAGTCTCCAACATTTTATTTTTTTTTGAAATCCTCTTCTCCCACGGCTTCTGTGACACCACAGTTTCTTGGTTTTTACTTATTTTTTTTCAGTCTTTTTGTAAGCCAGTCTGCCTATCCTTTCTGTGTTGGTGTTTTTTTAGGACTATGACCTAGGCCTTTCTCTCTTTCCATGCTCCTAGCTCTCTCTGGCCAGTCTTGGTCACCCAAAGGATTTCCTTTCCCACCTAATGACTCTCAGGAACTCGATCTATACCACTAACTGCTCACTGGATGTCCTCCCTTGGATATTCCACAGTCACCTTTAGCCCATTGGATCTATAACTGAGCTTACCATTTTCCTTTATCTGTTATTTCTCTTGTAATCCCTCCTTCTGGCCTTTAGCCCAAACATCTAGCACTAGTATTTATTATTATTACTCTCATTATTATTAATGTTATGACATCGTGGCAGTTTCTAAAAATGGCCACAAATTCTTTGACACTCCTCCCTTATGAATGTGTCAGCCAATAGAATATAGCAGGAGTGACTTCTGAGGCTGAATCATAAAAGGCTGTGCAACTTCCTTCTGGTTCTCTTGGGAATTCTCATTGTTTGGAAGCTCCCTGTCAGGATACTCCCTCTTGGAACCTAGCTGCCACATTGTGAGAAGTGCAAGCCACAAAGAACAGTTATGTCTCCATACTGTGTTTGGCAGTCCCAACTGAGCTCAGCCTTTGAGTTGTCCCAGCCCTGTTCACATCAGACATGTGAAAAAGAGTGAAGAAGACTCAGATAACTCTAGCCACCAGCCTCAAGTCACTCACAGGCATTCAGGTGTCTTATAGGAGGCCCCAGGCATTATGGACTAGAGATATACCATTCTTGCTGTATCTTGGTTGAATTTCCAGAATCTATGAGCATAAAGAAATGGTGGTTGTTTTACACTACTTAGTTTGGGATGATTTGTTATGCAGCATAGTAACCAGAACAAACATATATATTAAAAAGTGCACATCTCTTAAGTATATAGATTGATGAATTTCATGAAGTGAACACACCCATGTAACTGACCCTCACAAGAACCCTACTCTGCCCCCTTCCAGTCTGTGCTTTCCAAATGTAATCACTAGCCTGACTTCTAATACCATAGCTGAGTTTTGCCTGTGAATAAACTTATATAAACTAAGCATCAGTTTTTAATTTTTTCCCTTTCATATTCATCCAGTCCTCAAGCCCTGGTGCCCTACCTTCTAATATCTACATGTCCATTTCTCTGTAACTTTACTACTTCAGTTTGGGCCTTCTCAGTTTGACCATGTATAAAATTCTTTACAGTTCTATGCTATCCCAAGGATAAAATCTAAACTCCTTCACATGGCATGCAAATCTCCTGTTCCTGACCTTTATCCATGTCTTCAGCCTCATTGCTGTGTTTCCTTTGCATGTTGTCTAGGCTCCAGACATGCTGTACTGATTGTAGTTCCTAGAGCACCTTCTCACCTGTTGTTCATTCTTCCTTGCCTTAGTATGGACTGATCCTTTGGGCTGAAACTTCCATTTCTTCTTTTTAAATGCTTTTTATTTGAAACTAATTTCAGGCTTGCAGAAAGTTGCAAAAAAGGTACAGAAAGTTCCTGTAAACTCCTTAGCCATGTTCCCTTGTTCTCATCTTATATAACTAGAGTACAGTGATCAAAACCAGGGAGTTAACATTGGCACAATACTTTGAACTAAATCACAGACCTGATCTGAAACTTTTATCTCTGTATCTTAGTTTACCACATTCTTGCTTGTTCCTAGACATCATTTACTCGTTTTTCTTTGGGAAGATTTTATTTATTATTCATGAGAGACACACACAGAGAGGCAGAAACATAGGCAGAGGGACCAGCAAACGCAGGACTCGATCTCAGGACCCTGGGATCATGATCTGAGCCAAAGGCAGATGCTCAACTACTGAGCATCAGGAAAACTCCTGATGGTTTTCCTAAGCCCCTTCGCCCTTCTTTCCCTTCATACACACAAGCCATGCTAAGTGCTGCTCTTTGATGGCAATTATTACACTATATTGCAATGGTCTGGCGTAAGAGAATATGTGGCATATGTATACAATGGGATATTACTCAGCCATTAGAAATGACAAATGCCCACCATTTGCTTCGACGCGGATGGAACTGGAGGGTATTATGCTGAGCGAAATAAGTCAATCGGAGAAGGTCAGGCATTATATGGTCTCATTCATTTGGGGAATATAAAAATTAGTGAAAGGGAATAAAGGGAAAGGAGAGAAAATGAGTGAAAATATCAGTGAGGGTGACAAAACATGGGAGACACCTAACTCTGGGAAATGAACAAGGGGTAGTGGAAGGGGAGATGGGCGGGGAGTTGGGGTGAATGGGTGATGGGCACTGAGGGGGGCGCTTGGCGGGATGAGCACTGGGTGTTATGCTATATGTTGGCCAATTGAACTCCAATTAAAAAAAACTAAAAAAAAAAAAAAAGAGCTGAGGTCTTGCAGGACAGAGATGGGTTCTAGTGATCTGGAATCCTGCCTGGTGTGGAGGTGCTTATTCCTTGTTCCTTGAGTGACTGAACAAGACGGTGTCCAAGGCGAGTCACGGCACAGCGGGTGTTGGGAAGCTAGGAAGGGGAGGTCATCGCCCCGGCACTGTCCAAGTCCTGCGCGCAGATGGGGCAAAAACGACCGAGTCTGTTCGCAGTCAGCCCTCTCGTGGGCTCAGCTTTTCCATAGGCCCCGCCCACCTCTGACTCCTCCCCGCAGGCCCACCCTTCGTTCTAGCCCCGCCCCGGCCAGCCCACTCTTCCACCCTCAGCCCCGCCCAGGACCATTGGCTCCGCCCCCCCACGCTAGTCTCCCAGGCTCAGCTCCCTCCTCAGCCCCGCCCTTGGCCTGTCCCTGTCCCGCCTTCTGCCCTCTGGTTCGACCTTTCCTCCTCAGGCTCCGCCTCCGCCCTACGGGCCTCCGCCTCCCCAGCAGTCTTTCCCTCTGACACGCCGGAGTCCTTCAGAGGGGTGGGGTTTAGGGCGCCAGGGGGCGGGGCCCGGGGAAGAGGCGGTGCTCCTTGCTCGGAATGCCGTCGGCGACCCCGCCCCTGCGCTCGGCCGTTGCCAGGAAACGGGCTTCGACGCTCCGGCTCTGGACGGGTCCAGCCAATGAGCTGGCACGCCTCTGCCCAGCGGTGCGTCGCTGGGCGGTTACGTGGGGTGCGCGGGGGCGCGGGTTGCGTGTGGCGCGGGGCGGGGCGCGGCTGGTGCGCCTGAGGAGCGATGGCGGCGGCCTGAACTCACCTAGCGGGGCTGCGGCGATCGGGCCTGGTCAGGGTCGGGGTTCTGTGAGTGAACGGCAAGTATGGGCCGCAGGGCCCGGAGAGGCGCGTGAGAGGCTGAGGAGCTGACGAAAGACG